GAGCTTTCTTCTCCAGCTTGTCGCATGCTTTGGGTATATAAAGCTGTAGGCCATATTGGTAACTGTCTACGAACAGCCCAATGGTCTTCTGAAACTCTTTGTCTAGTGATACGGGTTGGAGAGCAGTCTTCGGATCTGGGAAGATGGCTTGCTGGGTACGCGCTGCAATGTAAGACGCCCCTATGCTGTTGAGATCCTTCACGTTCAGAATCCACGGTGCAGTCAGGTATTGTATTGGAAGTCCTCGAGGAAAGGGCTCAGGAAGCGCTAGTGTGGCAGGACGGTCTAGCGGCCTTAGCTTGGACCAGAGTTCGTTTCTCGCTCGTGCGAGGGTGTCTAAGAAGACATATGTCGAGACGTCGGAGCTTTCAAGCTCAATAGTGAAGGATCTGTGATAGGCAAGAATGCCACGGGGATGATTCGCCTCTAGTCTTGCGTATTCCTCTCTTTGCGCCTTTTCCTCGACCGCAATGAGCATAGGAATCGTGACCTGCCAAATGCAGGCATGTATACCGTGATCAGGGGCTCTGAGTTGCTTCTTGACATGTGGTGTGAGATCCATCCGTAGTTTGATAACATCGTGGAATAGCTCAAAGACGCCACCCCAATCAGACGCGTTAAACGAAGGTTCCCTGAGGGCTTCGCATGCTGTGTCAAACATTCTTTGCAAAATCGTGTTCGCCATTGCGACTCGGTGTTGTAGCACAGTCAGGCTTGGCAATCCGTTGATTGATGCAGGAATACCTGATAGTAGGCGTGTAGCTTCTTCAGGAAATATGTTTGGATAGATCTCCCGCATCACGAGCGGATCTCGCAAGAAGCGTTTGGTCCACTCCAGCGTATCTTTCAGCAGGTCTAGAGACCCACTGGCGATAGCAGCAAATAGCGCTGATTTGGCAAAGAATGCACGTTGTTCCGGCTGAGATGCAGTAGCAGCCTTCTTCTTGCGCACATCAACGTAGCCATTGGCCAATATCTTGGCGTCTTCTTCCCTGTTGTTCAGGCTTAGTAGCCAGAAGTGAAATATATCCGGGTCACCACTTTGACCTTGAAGTTCATAGGTTGGCGTTTGGCCGAAAATAGAGCGATTTCGATCAAGGTCGATTAGATCAACATCTCCTCTCGCTTTTCGCAGACGAGTAAACAGTAGCAGAGCGTCGGCAGGGGACAGATTGGCGAAAAAGCTGGGATGGATCGAGCCCTTGGTCTTCTTCAGATCCGCATCGCTGTCGAGGTCAAGCGAGGTGGACTCTTGGTAGCAAAGTCTCAAGAGTGGGTAGCTTCGCTTTTCTGGAATGCTTGCGAGGACGTCATCCCAGTCTTCGATGTTGGTCTTGCTGGCCGTACCGAATACCGGATGAGAACAGAGCCTCCGCAGTTGCTGTTCGAACAAACTTGGCTGTTGTGACCAGCAATAGGCGACCTGCTGGAGAAAGTCGCCCTCGATGCCAGTGATGTGACATCCTGTGCTTGGATGGGCTTCCAAGTACCGCATTGTGAGATCGACTATTCGTTGTATCATATCCCAACCTGCGTGGTTCTTGATTGCACGTTTAATGAGAGGATCGACGAGTTGGTCGATGAAAGTCTCGTCCGCCACTACCGAGTGCGCTGAATTACCAAGGGTTTCCAAGAGTCTCAAAGAGAACTCCATCGACTTGGAGAAGCCCTTTGTGGTCGATTTACCTGGCGGATGGTGATGCAGTAGCTCTGTAAATACCGTGATGTTGTCGCTGGGTAATTGTTCCACGCTCACCGCTTGGAGAAGCTCTTCTTGCATACACTCCGGATAGTACTTGACGAGATCCTTGGTTCGCGCATCTTTCCATGTTCCTTTTGACCCGCTTGCGATGGCCTCTTCTACCAGCTCCTTCGAACACGCAGGAATGATGAGTCGATAGAACCTTCCAAGTGCACGCTGATCTTTCGTCTTATGCGGCGAATCGGGGAAGCGATCAGGGTGCAGCGCTTTGAAGAATTTCGTGAAAAGCTCTCTTTTCGCATTCAGGTCAGCGCCTCTACCAGAACGACCAATTGCGTTACAAGCAGCCTTGACCTCGATCACTGAGAGGTCTGCAAAGATGTCAAGCAACCCAGCAGTTCCTCCAAAGCCATCCCACGTCTCTCTCCATCGCGAAGAACAAAGTCCTTTACGCAGAAACTTGATGCCGAGCTTGCGGACAAGTACGGATTTATCTTGATTGAGCGCTTCGCGTGTAGCGAGAGGCGACTGTGCTACGCCGAGCCATGGCCCGAAGGTGAGCGGCGATATCGAGCCTCTCTCAATAGCTGAGAGGAGCTGTGTCGTGATCTCCTGGATTGGCACGTCGTCCAGTATTTGGGTGTAGTAATCTCGTAGCTCAGCGGAAGTGGAAGACCGGATGCGACGCGTGTCGAGATTCGCGGTCATGGTGTGCGGAGCCGAGGTAGATTGCGCAATGGCCCTCCACCATCAATCGCAGCAGCAATCAGCATTGATATAGTTTCCAGAACTTCAGGCATGATGCACGCGAAGGGTAGCATAGGCAGACATGGCCAGATGGAGGAAGGTGGATGATCAGGCGGGCCGCGTAGTGGGGCCTGTCGTGTGTTGGAAGGGCTGAGAGGCCAGCGACGCGTCTATGACATCAGCCTTTCCTCTCAAAACGGTGGCAGCTCCCAATACGCTGCGCCCTGTTTCTCCCGCTCGCAGCCTTCAATTGACGCCCTCTTCGATCCACAGCCCTCCGTCCCCTTATACTCGGGATACGCACCGTCACCTTGATGCTGCATACTTGCTGCTTCCCAAGGCCTCATTACCGATGGTGCGCGAGATGAGGAGGTCCGCATTTGGAGCTTTCAACGCTATCTGTAGAAGTCTAACTCGCAACCGATCAATCAACAAGGAATCTATAAACAGCGAACCCCCTTCGTATTTTTCACCAGAGCGTACCGCCCTCTCAGGCTTTAACTACTACGTCACCAGTGTCTCTTTGAAAGAGTTCGAAAGTTTCATAGCCATTATTCTCCCAGAATGGTCTCTCTGCCCTTCGACCACCACCGGTAATTGACGCACTAAGTCCGCACGGATCTATAAAGGTCATAAACCACGGCATGTCATCCTTCCAACCTGGACCTTCCAGCTCGGTCTGCCCATCCTGGGCCAAGTAGATATGGTAGTCCTCCGGTAGGTAGCGACGCGGATGGCGATAGTTCCACAGCACGGTGTTTACGAGCATGAAACTCGCGTCGAAAACCCAGAAGAACCATTCGTATCGAACGATTGGCGAGAGACTCATTGGATCCCAGTCTTTTGACGGATTCGTGGGTACGCGGCTGATGCCGAAGTGTTCGATGCAGCGATAGATTGTGCGAATGAGGATGAGGCCCTGACTGATGTACAGTGTGATGAGAGGGCCCTGTACTTTCCCCGACTTGATGCCACCCCTGATACATCGTCTGTGAAAGACGCCGGCAATTATGCAGAAGAGGAGGATGACACCGATTTGTAAGATCAGTGACAACTTCATCAGGATATGTCCGATGTCGGCATAGATCTCGAGAATGTTGGGGTTCGCTAGCCAGGAGACGCCGATCGCGTTCAAAACTTCAACGATGCTGGATATTGCGCCAAACGTCGTAAGGGTACGGCCGGGATGCAGAGGCGAGTGGTATGGTACGTAGTAGAGTATTCGACCAAGCACATGGTAGTTGGCCAGCTCAAGGATGGGGCTGGTGATTTGTTAGCCACCTCAAAAGAGAAGGGCGAGCTACTTACGGTGCACATAATATGAGGATAGAGCTCGCGACGTATGCTCCGATGTTTTCGTAACTAAAGGCCCCATAGGAACGTACGACAAAGCCAGCTGTGAACAGTAGACCGCAGAAGGGGTGGAGACCGGTGACTTTCCAGGCCTTGTACTTGAAGCATTGCCAAACATGCGCAAGGGTAGCGATTGCGAACCACACGGCGAACACAGGAGGGGCCCATTTAATAGGCTGATACAGGTAGACACTTCCGGGAACGATCTCGCCGTCTGAGGGAGCCATGGTAGATTTTATTTAACGGGGTAAATGAAGAGCATGAGAAGTGACATGCGCATCCAAGTATTTAAGCTGGAGCGACTGCAATTTGATCTTCGAATGATCGTTGCTGACTCCAAGGGCAAGAGAAGAGCAATCGGCATGTCCAATAGGATTACTACAGGCTTGTCCTGACACAGCACTACTGATGGCCAAGCCTTCATACGATTGCACAGCTAAGTACTCCTCCCGTATACCGCTTGCATGCTCTCGATCCAATCAGCTTGGCTCAAGAAATGCAACTTTGGAAGGCAGAACGATTCCGTCGCTGTCGCGTCTCAAACTCGGAGCACGTCAAAGTAGCATACCTTACACCATTTGGATGTCGGCAGGTAGCAGCACATGCAAGAACACAGTGAAGAATGTGCCGGCCAGCAGAACGGGATCCCGATGACCATATCTACTAAAGCTTCATCGTGGTGGCCGTTTTTAGGCGCACCTGCCAATCGAGCTTCATACTAGCTTTCGGCTGTCAAATGACGCAACTGCCGCTCGGGCAGGAACGCGTCGCCCGCGCGCGCCTTCCTCATGAACAGCCACATCACGCTAGGCAGACTACTAAATGCGCATGTATACATGCCTCGAAACTTTTTTCAGTCGCTCACAACCTGCACTTTTCGGTTGCGATTTTCAGCACAAGACATGTCGATTCGGCACCTCCGAATACGAAGACACTCGGGTCTCAGGCCCCCAGCGCCACATGCACATAAGCTTCCTCGCTGGACTAGACCCAATACAGAAGTAAAGTTGGCCAAGAAGCACTTGATAACCAGCTGAACTCATCACCACCACCCACCTATGATAGTGAGACGAGCCCTCTATGGTAATAAAGCTGCAGAATTGCACGCTTTTATGATGCCACCAAAGCCGCTGCCGTTGCCGCCTTCTTTGCGGGTACCTTCCAGTTAATCTTCATCTACCCGCATTCAGAAGCGACCATGGCCGAAACGGGAGAAAAGAGAGCAACACGCCAATGCTGGGAGTGTCTTAGACGGCGTCTAGTGTGCGACAAGACGCTGCCGCGCTGCAACAAGTGTCAGAAACGCGGTCGGCAATGCTCGGGCTACGACGACGCGAAGCCGCTTCAGTGGGTTCAGCCAGGGATGGTGACGTCCAAACGAAGAGGAAAGAAAAACAGTAGTCCGCGGAAAAGATCCAGCAATAACACAGCGGCTAAGAGTGAACTCGACTATGCCTGCGAACCCATAGACTACGAAGCCACCTTGACCGAATGGGTAAAGGATCGGATCGTCAATCCCCAGTATCGGGTGACTGAGCTCCACGTGCTATCCTTCAAGATGATAGCCGTAGCCAAAGAGGCCGCCAGGGTATTCGAGATCGGCGGAAGGGCCAAGATTGAAGAGATCGTGCAGAAAGGTTTGCACGAGGAAGCCGCAAGCGCATTGCGCTCAAGTCGTGATCCACTCCCACGGCTGAAGCGACTGCTCGCGTTCCTGAGCATGCAAGACGTACCACTCTATGATGATCTCATGGACGAGACATCAGAAGTGGTGCAAGCCGTCCAGTACTGTGAGTGACTTCCTTTCTCATCATGGAACATGGGGCTAGCTTTATAGCGACATGTGTGGCCGATGGCTAACGCTACCAGACAACGTACGGATACACCCACAATACAAGGCATCCCAAGAACTGGCACCCAACCCCGCCCTCGTACTCTTTCCCCCACAAGTCTTGCATTTGCTTACGCCGTCCATCCATCATGCGTTAGTCTGCCTGTCACTCAACCACTTCATCCACAGTCTACCACTAGGCGCAGGCCATACAGCGGTGATAGCGCGGACAAAAGTATACCAACATCGAGGGGCAGCTTTGCGAGCATTAAGTCGACATATTGCTCAGGACAAGACACGATGCTCCGACATGACTATCACTACAATTCTCATGTTCATGTGCTTAGAGGTATGCGAGCGCGTCTGGAATGTGAAACTTGGAGTCACGCACTGATATGTACCTCTAGCTCCAAAACCCCACCTTTGCGGACGGACGTTCACATGTGAATGCCATGAAGCGGATAGTTGACCTCAGAGGTGGACCCAAGCAGGTCATGAAGGAAGCCCCGTACCTGATCCCGTCGATGGTGCTCTACCTACTGTATGTCTATTTGCCCTTTAGATTGAAAACCTACTCATACGATCAGTATCGTGTCTCTTTCCAACACGTGCAGTCCGTCATGGGACCAAGTCGACATCAGCAACACTGCGGAGGAAATGACAGAAGACATAACCGACATGTACAGTCTCATCTTCCCGTACACGCTCTGTCCGCGAGAGCTCTTCACTGAGATATTGCGGACGAACCAGCTACGCGCAAAAGCATCTGCAGCAATACAACTGTGTGATTTCAACCCGAATTATGCACTCGAAGCTTATGGCGTCCTCGGCCGCATCGAGGCCTTCTCAGTCGAGGACTGGGCGCGAGCTGGCACCTTCTGTACCGAATGGCTGACTGTTGGCCTGGTGTACAAATCCGCCGTCGCGCTCTACGCCACCTTGTCCCTTTGCCCACTCATGGTCCTCCCGATGACGCCTTCACTGCTCGAGAACCAAACAGCTTACGGTGACGTCCTGCTCAGCAACCTCGACGCTGCACTCAAGGCCCCGCGTATGGCTAAGTTTATGGTCTGGCCGCTGATCGTCGCGGGTGTAGAAGCTATGCATCGCGGGGAAGGGACGCGCAACTGGATCGAAGCGGGCTTGGAGGATCTGAGTAGGACGCTGGGGACGAGTTGCCCACTCAAAGTATGTTCGGTGCTGAAGAGATACTGGAAGGGCGGGGTTGCCGGGTGGGACGAGTGCTTCGATCAATCGTATGTGTTTGCAATCTAGAGAGCGAGCTAGTCAAGGAGGGGTTGCAGTTGTTCGTGTCATCATACCCAGAGGTTCGTGATATATCGCTAGTATGCGTAGTGTACAGGCTTGCTATACAGAGGGGAGAGGGGGTCCCCATTCGTGATACCCAAACGCCAATCTATGCTGTCGTGTGCCGTGGACCAGCACTACCGGTCCAGGCCCTTGTTCTCTGGATCCTCATCGCCCTTGGTCTCCTTGACGTCTTTGTACGGCCGCCCCGCGTAGAGCATGTATCCCTTCTCCTCCATGGTGCCCGCCTTCTCGTCCGCCTCGGAGCGGCCCTGGCCAAATGCGCCCGTCTCGAGTTGGCCGGGCACGGCAATGGGCCGGTTGCCGCGGAAGCGCTTGCGCATGTCAATCATGCCCTTTTTGCATTCGGCGTAGCCCTTTTGCAGCTGCTGGCACTGGGTGGGGAGGGTGTATTTGAGGGGCGGGCGCAGACATTCACCGGGCGTGTGTCGGTCGACCATGATGCAGTCGCTATTTTGGAGGCAGAATGCCAGCGCAGCGCCTAGCCACTCCGGTTAGCCGAGGCATCGCAGAAGATATTGAACAAGCCATACGGATGTCTTTGCAGGACTGCGGCATGGTGGCAGGAGGTCGCGTGTGGCTACCAGCGCACTCAACAATGCATGTGTGGAGTGATGCAGTGGAGCTAACATTTCACAGCCGTCGGCGAAACGTCGCGCTAACCTCCGGGGCTAGGATGCGTTGTCACATGTCAGGGATGGCTGCTTCCGTCTGGAACGTCATTCAGACTCTATCCTGCAAGACCTCACCGTAACTCAAGAGGGGCTGGAGCGCGAGCTGTGAACTTTCCGAGGCCCGCGCGTACAGAGGGGCGATGCGTTGTCGCGCTGCCATTTTGTCTCTGCTTTAATTGCTTCTGTGCCCTGCCCGTCTACACACGCCCGAGGGCACCTGGGCAGCATGGCGCTCCATATACCCTTCCTGTCGCGCCTCCACATCCGCGAGTACATCGCCCTGTTTCTCTCCATCTGCCTCATCGGCCTCGAGTCCTTCATTGCCGTCATCACGCTTGCCCTGCCCACGCCGATTATCAACTTCTGCTACCGCCTCACGCGCCGCCTGTTCAACCACCTCTCGTCGCCCTCGTCCAAGCGCTCGCGCCAGAAGAAGAAGGGCGTGTGGAGCTCCATCGCCAATGCCTCCGACTTTACCGAGCTCTGCGACCTCTACGGCTACTACTGCGAGGAACACATTGTGCAGACGGGCGATGGCTATCTCCTGGGTCTGCACCGGCTGGGCTGGCGACAGGGCGAGGAAAACGTGCGCGTCAACAGCGGAGACAGGGCCAAGGGCGTCAAGAAGAAGGTCGTCTACCTCCACCACGGTCTCATGATGAACAGCGAGGTCTGGGTCTGCTTGACCGACAAAGAGCGATGCTTGCCATTTGAGCTGGTCGAGCGCGGATACGACGTCTGGCTCGGCAACAACCGTGGAAACAAGTACTCCAAGAAAAGCGTCCACACGCCCCCTACCTCGAGCAGCTTCTGGAACTTCAGCATGGACCAGTTCGCCTTCCACGACATCCCAGACTCCATCGCCTACATCCTCGAGACTACGCACCAGCCCTCCCTGTCGTACATTGGCTTTTCGCAAGGAACCGCGCAGGCTTTCGCGACCTTGTCCATCCACCCTACACTGAACGAGAAGGTTGATGTCTTCATTGCGCTAGCCCCGGCCATGTCTCCTAAGGGTGTTGCGTCTGGCATTGTCGACGCCTTTGTCAAAGCCTCTCCGGATATCCTCTACTTGGCGTTTGGACGAAAGACCATTCTCCCTTCGGCAACCATGTGGCAATCCATCCTATATCCTCCTATTTTCGTCCGATTCATCGACACATCCCTGCGCTTCCTTTTCAACTGGTCCGCCGTCAACATCCTACCCGAGCAAAAGCTCGCAGCGTACCCACATCTCTACTCATACACGTCGACTAAAAGCGTGGTACACTGGTTCCAGATCATTCGGAATGGCACGTTCCAAATGTACGACGATGAAGCGCCGAATCCAATCACATCCAACCGATCCAAGTACTACAAGGTTGCCAAGTTCCCCACTAAGAACATTAAGACGCCTATCGTGCTTGTTTACGGCGGCTCGGACAGTCTAGTCGATATCAAGGTCATGCTCAAGGAGCTCCCAGCTCATACTATCGCCAAAGAGATCCCTCACTACGAGCACCTGGACTTCCTGTGGGCGGAATCTGTTCACACACTCGTCTTCCCGCACGTCTTTGAAGCGTTGGACAAATTTGCAGGCTCAGAAGCAGCAGCTCTAGAGAGTCAGAAACAACGACGTCTACGATCGCCGGGCCGGTACCAAGGTCTCCTACCAGAGTCCAGCAAGCTACCCGGACTAGACGGCGACGAAGATGACGAAGATGCAGGGGATGAGAGTGCGACAGCTCCACCGGCACTGCGGACAAGAAAAGTGTCTCAGCACTCGCGCGCACCGAGTTCCATCGATGGTACGACGATAGCAGAAAGGCCATTGTCACTAGCCAGTCCCTTCCAAGCGTCTCAAACGCCACGACCTCCCACTCATCGAAGAACCCAAACCGAAGAGAAGCCCTCGCCTTCCCGCAACAGAATCATGTCGCCACCACCCTCGCACAGGATATCAACTATATCCTCACCACCCCCCTCAACAAACAGGATGTCAACCATATCCTTCAGCTCACCAGGTGCGTCAGTTGGCGACTCTCAAATGACAGAAAAAACCTCGACGTCTCGGCCCGAAGGATGGTGGTCCTCTGACGAAGTCGCTGGTACAGATCCGTCTCAAACTACCACACCCGCTAACCACACGCCCGCCAGGAGGTCCAGTTTCGACAGCCAGCAGAGCACGAAGAGTATGGCGGGCAAATTCGGAGCCAATGGTATCACTCTTGGGGCGGGCAAAGCCGTCAGCGGAGTCACCATCACACAAGGAGAAGGATTCGGCGAGGGGAGTGGGACTCACAAGGATAAAAACGATCGGGAAAGATTACTGGAGGCGGATCGGAAACAACGGAGGAACGTCTTGAAGAAGAGACAGCCGTCTAGTGGGTGATTTGATCTGACGAAGTAACGATGGACTTGCATAAGACTGTTACGATTATGTTGGTTGGTTGTAAATTGCAATAACAAGAATCTTGTGGGCTACTTCATGCCAACGCCCTTCACATTTGCAATGTTTCCAATGGCGTGACCATTCTCATACGTTGGGCGCACCTCCGCTAGCATGATTGATCACGGGACTCTATTCCGCAATACGAGATGCATATCCAGAACCTCATCTTGACTTCAATCTTACCTAAGCTCTGCATTCTCAATAAACCTTTATCTGCCGACGACCCATCGGTTTCATTAGCCATGGCACCCGCGTTCATGCAGATACCCAAGCTCCTTCTCTCGCACTCCACTCGCGGCTGCCAATACCCATCTCTTCTACGCGATCTCGCCAATTAGGACAGTGATGGCGTGGATATGGGATAGCACTGTAGCCATGTATCGGTCGCTAGCACGCTTCTTGTCGTCTGGGCTCCTCGATGCAAAGGTAAGGGTGTTGATGACTTGTGACTTGTAGATCACTCTAAAATGATGGTCAAGGGTAAATACGACCCCGCGTATAGGGCCTTTGTATTCTACAGGACTATGTCGCCTAATGAGGTATGTTAATGTTGGCAGGTTGCTCTGGAGGGATTCTCGCTGATCTCTATATGGGAACTTAGTCCGTGTCGAGTTTTGGGAGACCGTCGATGGAGAGTGAAGTGGAATGAAGTTGGGACTTCGTTGCAAAGGCCTTGGTCTTGTACGAACATGCATGAAGGTGTCGGTGCAATGAATTTAGTTGGCTGAGGGGAAAGAATGGTATTCTATTGATGTTCAAGTATCTATGTTCGCTTTAAAGCTGCTGAACCCGAAACTACACCCCCAATCCGTTTCCCCTTCCTGCGAGCGAGACGATCAAGAAGAGCCCTGTATGTCTTCCTGCTCGGCGAGACCGCTCTGCTGCATCTGTTGATGCATTTGTTGCTGCATTTGCTGTTGCATGAGTTGCTGCTGTGACATGTTCATCGCGGAAGGATTGAAGTTCAGATGACTCAAGGGCGCTGACTGCCACCACAGCTGTTGCATATCGACAAGAGGTACGCCTTGATCAAAGTTCGTCATAAAGGGGTTTCCGAAAGCGAAAGACGTTGGTTGTTGTTCTGGCAGAGGGTACGGAAGTAGCGGGTCCATGAAGTGATCTTGGGAAAGCGGGGGTGGGAAATTTGGCGGCATTTCCTCCCAGGAGGCTGACTGCGGTGCAGAGCGTGTAGGCTTTGCGGGCCGAGAAGTCCATCCAGTATCGTCGGCAATCAACTCCTTGACTTGCTCCCGAAGAGCAGGCGCACAAGTGTTCAAAATCTTGTAGACGACATCATGAGCCCGAGCAGCGACTGGGTCACTTACTTTCATAGCACGAAGCCAGCGTATCATCTTCTTGATGCACGTCAGGATGTCGTCTCTCTCATCCTTTAGATGTTTGCCCTCATAGGCCATCTCCAGCAGCAGCACGGCTACTGATTGCATGACTAGTGGAAAGAACGTCAGCTCTTGTTAGACTTTTCTCATATCATGATAAACTTACTGAGATGAACCACATCCCACCACGGTCCTTGCGAGTAAATGAACTGTGTATCTGGCTGTTCAGGGAACAGCATCGTCATGTTTCGAGCTGACTCGACGCATGTCTCTGCTGACTCGGCGTTGAAGTTCATGGATTTGGAACTCTCTGTTGCTATTCTTCGCTCTATTCGACAGAGGCAGGGCCGCGTGATGAGCACTTTCGTACTCCAGTAGTAGATTCTGAGTAGAAAACGTTCGCGGTTGAGCTCGGGTCGTTGGGTGGAGTTACTCGGACGGATGTCATCAGATGGTAACGCTGTCTTGACCCAGTCCTCTAGTTCCTTGAGCAGCTCCGTAATT